TTTGGCATCATGATTTCTTTTCTTCTAAGTACATAAATTCATGGTTTGTATGACAGGTGTTGTAAGGACTGTAAGTCCTATATATAGGGCATCTCCACCAAAGGGGTGAGACAATGATATGTTCAATCCATGCAGTAAAAGTGTCTGTCTTGTAGGAAAGCTATCTGGAGGGAGCTGGAAATGCCGGGTGCACGGATCCCGGGCCCACCACCCGAGGATGTGGCCCACCTGCATGCATGCGCGAAGATATTATTCCGACACGCGGGGCTTGATCCCGTGCACGGACGTAAAAGTGTCAGCCATGGCTGACACTTTTACGTCCGTGCACGGGAGGTGCCACTCACCCCGACTACAGGTGCTCTACCCTGGGAACAGAACGCAACAGTGGGCCAGTAGAAAATGCATATCAAATGTTACGGTCGCCGTGCATTCTGCTATCCTCATAAACAGTCTATTACAGATGAGGAGGAAAGGAATCTATCTAGGGTTCAGGTATGTGAGTATGCCCCAAGGGTTTGTGGCCCTTGTCATTCTGTGCCGGGTGCCGGGGTCACAAGAGACCTTTATGGGTAGGAGAAGCCTCTCCTGGTCGGAGTCCTCGCCGGAAGGCTTTCCACACCTCGTCATTGCTGGCGAGACAATGAGAAGCACTTGCTGGTCGGTAGTGGAAAGCGTTTCCCCATGCTCTAGTTCCATCTCATCCTGTTTGAAGTGAAGGGGAGGCTTCAAGTCTTGTCTGAACAGCATCACCAGAGAGACCTGCACGCTCATCTCCTTGTCGAGCGCGAGGGCCTGGTCGAGTATCTGGCTGAGGTCGCCGACATGGCTCTTTTCGGCGTGGCTTGATTCCAGTCTAGCTTGGTCGCGTCTCGTCTCGTCTCTATTCACGGTCGGGGAGAACATGCGGCGCTGCCGCGCAGGTTCCCTTTTCCCGTCCAATACCACGCCAATAGCTGCGGGTATGTGATAAGGACGAAAACAGCGTGCCAACAAGCGCCACAGCGTCCGAAGGAAGAGGATGATATCTCTGTCGGTCGCCCTGACCTTGACGAATGATTGCTCGAGTGTGAGCCAAATCTCTGGCTCAGAGTTGTCCCGATCCACTGTCATGGTTAATTGGGGGGGTTTGTCAGCGCGGCTTCCATGAGGGATGGCGGCTGGCGGATGGCGAACAGGGCAGACGCGGATGGAGGCAACACACATATCTGATTTGCCAAACGGCGTCTTGTCAAGTCGAGTCTTTGGTCGGACACCTCAGGGCCCATTGATTTGCATTGTTGGGATCAACGCGTCTCTTCTCCGCGAGAATGGTGTCATCAGCCGCCAGCACAAGCGTTTTCCAGATACTTTCAACGCTGTAGGCTGCCTTCACAGACCGTTCTAGCCTCGCTTCCTCTGGACCGAGGCAAATGACAGGCCGCTCGGAATATCGGACGTAGTCCCTGAGGAATAATCGGCGGTAGGTCACCACATCTTTCTCGCCGCGATATAGGCTTGGTATTTTTACACGCTGCGGCCCGCAAAAAGTTACGATCCCGGTACCCGTGTTTTTGGAAAATCTTATACGTGGTTAGTAGTAGATACTGTAGGGGCACAGCAGATAAGATTTTCGAGCCCGCGGAGAGAAAAATGCGGACCCCGAGGCCGCGCAGGCACAGGCCGAGACGGCCGAAGCGGCACAGGCACAGCACGAGATGCACGACAAGAAGGTCAAGGTTGACCTCTGGAATCTCGATATTTCGGGTATAACCTCGCAGAAGTTGGGGAGCTAGGAATTGCCTATATAGCATTTGTTGCACAAGAAATGCACGGGCATGTCGTTGGCATGGCATTCGGGTCCAGATGGGCCGCTACGATGGTGCAACCTTGGGGTAGATGTGCCCTCCGTATTACCCATGGCGCAGTATTAAATTTCCCACCTAAATAGGGGATATGCCCACATTTGAGACGGTTAGGGAATAAACCCGACACATGCACAATAGTCAGATTTAAACACATTTTTCACGTCGTTAACATTTCCATCTGGGGAGAAATCAGATCGGGGAGGGGAGTGATATTTGGACGCAGTGACTGGGGACGCGTATAAAAACATAGGTTAGCGAAAGGTGCAGACCCGAGGAAGACGAACACCGCCAGACTGGATACGTAACAGAATAACAAAAACGGGAGCACTACTAACCCCGCATACCGCCAGCGGGGTTCCCTAAGTGGAGGATACCGGGAGGAAAAGGTGCTGCGACGAGGATGGGTGGACAGCCCAGATACGCGCCCGAGCAGCGGCCGCCAAGATGCCGTGAGGGGAGGTGGAAGAAGGTCGAGGTAGAAAGCACCACAGGGCCAGGTCGGACAGGGGCAAAAAATTCCCACCGACCAAAATACTGTGCACGCGGGAGAAACTCCGCAAGGATGACGAGGCGAGGAGCAGACACGTGCAACGCGTCGGGTATGGAACAGGGAGTCCCTGAACCGCTGGGCCCGGGTAGCTCGACGACACCTCCGCGGTCAGCCCTGGCGGTTCCAGCCACTGGCACCAGGGTGTAGCTGGGCCCCGCATGCTTGTGCTGCGACGCCCAAAACGGCTATGGACAGGGAGTGCCCGCAGGTTCCTGCCTGCAGCCTTGGTTCCTGTTCACAGCCTCAGCGCTGTTACGGATCTCTGCCTACCAAAGCAACGTTGCTGCAGCAGGGTAGAACAGTAAAATTGACAATCTAAAATTAGGTGTAAAAAGGAGGGTTTGGCACATTGCGCCTAATTCGCGTGCAAGGGTTTTAGCCCACGCGCGCAAAAAGTGGGTACTAGACGTGCATACCTATTATGGAGAGAGTATTAGTCATCACTAGAGGACCCACTGATTTTCCATGCTTTTACGATTCCCTCCAGCGTTGCCCGGAGGGCCCTAGCCTAGATCCAATTCATTGCACTTTTCCCCCTCCAATCGGCTGCTTGTTTTACTATCAATCAGAGATGCAGGTGTGGCTGCGCACCGCCTCGCTGCCGTTTTGGGGCTGTGCGAATCGGCCGTCGCCTTGAAGCCTTACCCCTCCGCAACCTGACGATGCGCCTTCCAAGCTCTCGACAGGCACTCGTCGACATTTTGGCCACGATATCCATCCGCCCCATATCGGCTGATTGCTAACTTTTCATTCTCATTTTCGTAAGTGCGGCCAGCTTACCGCGCGATGGAGGCTTTGGGAGCAGCAGCGAGCGCCATCGCGGTGGTCGAGCTCGCCGCAAAGGTCGGCGCACTTTGCCTACAGTACTCCCGCGACGTCAAAAGAGCCAAAGACGACATCGACCACTTTCGACAGCAAACGGAGGCTTTAAAGACAATCGCCGAAGGTGCGCAGCGGCTTTTGCAAGGTCCATATGGGCCTCGACTTGAAACTGCGCAAAAACTATATAGCGCCCTTACGAACGCCCGCTCGCAGCTCGATCCCATTCATACGAGGCTAGAAGAAAAGCTGGACACGGGTCGTGTGGGTCGGGTAAAAAGACGTCTCGGTCTGCTTGCCTGGCCGTTCGAAAGCAAGGATATCGAAAAGCTCATCGCTACCCTCAAACGGGACGGGGACACGATTTCCGCCGCACTCCAAGTCGATCTAACGTTCGTCACCCCACCCATCAGCCGCCGTTACGCAGCTAATTTTAAGTAATAGCACGCTTGCCCTCGACATTAACCGCAAACTCGTCCTTT